AACACGATATTTGACTTCATAATTTAAAGCCTGTTTTTAAAATACTGAGCTTGAAAGTATTTGCAGCAGTTCTTAATAGTAATGTCTTGAATTTGTTATTTTTTATGATCATTTCTAACCGCCATTTTTTTAACTTTTTTATTGGATTTTCAACACCGCTGGACCTGCCTTTCCAAAAACTTTACCAGTTCTTCATATCGTCAATACAAATGAAACGTTTTTCGAATCATTTACATCGTATTCTCCGTTTTCCCAAATTGCCATTCTTGGCACTTTTTGCACTGTAACGACGAACGGTAGACTACCTTTGAAGCTAATAAGCACGTCTTCCCATCAATATCAATCGAATGTTTTTTGAATCATTCAAGTTGATTGATCCGTGCTCTCGAAATCGTGGACAAAAAATTGTATCCAAACATACGCACATACATCCATTTTTCTAAGGTATGCCAAAATGTTCAGAAGATTCTGAAAATAAAGATATATAAAAAAATTACTACAATTGTAGTATGTTTACTTAAATCACAAGAAGTTAAAAATAATTGTGAACAGTATTTGTAGCCTAGCAAAGTACATGTTAAAGTATAATGAAAATTGTAATTTGAAGCCAAAGAAGTAAATAAACCAGGCGATGCCGAAAGGACTTGACTTGAATAGATACACTAAAAACGATATGTTTTACTAAAGTTTATTATAAAGAAATTCTTAAGAATTCAAACCAATTCAAGGTATTTTTCAACTACAAGTTAGTTACAAAATTTGGTTGGTTAATTGAACCTGATTGGGCTTAGATGATTGGGCTTTAGATGATTATCTAGATCAGTGAACCTGAGCGGTCCATGACATCATGTTAATATTTATTTACCTGTTGTATTATTCTATATGATCGATCCTGTAAAGACCCAATTTGCTGACAATAGTCTTGGTCAGACAATAGACAACGAAAGGCTTGGCAATATTTTTAGCACTTTTGAGACTGTCGTATTTCTGGATACTAATGATCAAAAAAACATTCAATACTTTCAATTAGTGATCTTCCAACTATAAAAACATGTGAACTGGACATTATTGGAAGGGAGTAGGAAGAAACTATAATACAGTTAGAAATTAAGTGGTGTTCCATGGCAAAGCCCAAGAGGTTGCCCCAAGAGGACACAAAAAAGTTTGAGAACCTATGATCTAGATCATGACTAAATATTTGTTCTAGAAAGTTAGTTGTGATATTTATACATAATACTTAAGGTAATCTATAGATTTTCTAGGGATGCCAATTAAAAATTAGTCTTAACAATCGCACTGCCAAAAATACAGAACACAAAATAAATTACACTATTTCACACACTTAAACAAATAGTTCTTAATAATTAATTGTTATAAATAATATTACCTAAACCAGTGTGAATATAACCACGTCAATTGTTTTTCGTGGTCCATTACACTTACGACAAAAAGTGAGTTCGATAAGAAGGGCCACTTTCGCGTATTTTCAGTTATCATGGCCAAAAGATGATAAAGGAAATTGAAAAACCTTTAGAATTTAATTACCAGGGTCGATCTTGTGGAAATACACCCATACCCTTTATCGTTTAGACTTATTTAATGAGCCCCTTAGCCAATGAGCCCCTTTAAGTCTACTAACTTCAACTTAGTTATCTGTGTTTGGCAGCTATATGCTTTTTTTAAGATATTCTACAATCAAATAAATAAATTAATTTCCATGTATTTTAGACAGAGCTTTTATTTACAAGACACTCGTTTAAAAAAATATCCTTGATGCTATCAATCTTATCAAATAATTTTACATATTGACTTTGATTTGTCTCCAGTTGGTTGTATCACTTATAGAAGGTTTATATTATGCTAAATGATGTTTTTATTTGTGAGTAATTAAAAATGCATATTTTGTATTACCATCGAAATAATTGTAAAAACTGTGAAACCTTATAATAATACTTTATGCAAACTAATTTTAAGTGAAAATATTTTATTATAAACAAACGCAACTGTCACGAGCAAAAACAATCAATTTATTTCAATAAATTTAAATTGAAAAAGAAGGTTGTTGCACCTGATAACGGTGTTAGCCGAAGCTAGTTGCGAACTGTCAAATCTGCTGTCACCGGTTATCATGTATTGAGTTGTATGGGAAGATTTGTGTAATAATTTTTTTTAGCTTATGAAACATTAATAACGTCATGTTTAAAGGTGAATCATCCATCTTGTTACAGATCAGCATACAGCGAATTATTTAATATTATAAAACACCTTTCAATTTCCTAATTATGTTGTGATTTTTAAACCATAATTGTTTTAAAACTATGCATGTCAAACATTAATTTAGAAAAAAGTAATCAAAATGGATTGGCTTGATTTTGGTGCTTTGACATCTGGTTTAGTTTTTGGAGGATTCCTGAGTGGGGTTGCATCACCTACAAAAATTTTGGCTGTTAGTCCTGAGCAATACACTTCCAGAAATGTTCTTACAAGGGAAGATGCTATCGTTTTGTATGGACCTCCAGCTTCAGATCGAAATAAAAATCAAAAATCATACGAAATAGTACTGCACAGACCATGTACAGAAACATTACATCAGTCTTATAGGTTTGTTTACTTTGCTTGTTTATTTTTACTTAAATTAGCATTTGTTAATGGTTTTAATAATTAGATTATTTTTGTAGTGTTTTTCGATCAGATAAAAGAGATGAAGCTGATCAACAGTTCTTGTGCTATAAAGATAAACTACCAATTTTTATAGATATCGCCAAAAGTGTATGTATCAAATTTAACAGATATAAAACTACTTTTGCTTAATAATTATTTGCAACCAAATACTAAAAAAGCAAATATGCAATGAATTAATGAAAACAGTTAATACAACTTTCTCTCCATTTTCTATGATTTGCTGTGAAAATGTAAAGTATAAATATTTTAGATGTGTCACTTACAAGGAATTCAGAAAATATGTGATGCCTTAACTGAGCATCCGTCCTGGACTCTGGCTCACTTGGCAGCTTATTTTGGATGTCATGAAACATTTACTAATCATTTAATAAATTCACATCTTAATACCTCAGATGAAACAGGAATGTCACCATTACAGGTTTGAATCGTAATATTCTCATTGCAATCATTTATTTGGATTATTTGGTTAATAATTATTTTAGGTAGCTATTAAAACCAATAATTTGAAAACTGTTCAAATGTTAATATCTGCTAAGAGTTCCCTGGAGCATCTGGACAATGAAGCTAATACAGTATTTCATTATGCTGCTGGGACTAACAAAGACATTATTATGGTAAAGTAAAATATTTTATAGATTATAAATATAATATTCATATAATAAAATGAACTAAATGAAGTAAATATTTTATAGTTTGTCATTTTATCATTTATTACCATTTTTGCCGACAAAGTATTATGTTTGATGTTCTAATTTTAATTATATAAAAAGGCTTTGAGTGATGAAGCTCCAAGGTGTTTAAATTCAAGAAACGCTATAGGGCATACACCTTTACATGTTGCTTGTCTTGCCAATAAACCAGATTGTGTCAAAGCACTCTTATTAGCAGGGGCTGATGTTAATATAGCTGCATCCCGCACTGACATACCACTGGAATCTTCAACTCCAGGTATTTTAAAAAAGTATTCAAAGTGTTAATATATTTTACATCAAAAATTATCAAATTAAAAATAAATTTTTTGTATTTTTTTATCCAAGATTACCTATATTACATATACAGATCTACATATTAAAAAAACAAAGTAGATCCTAAAGTGTTTAGAGTAATCATATTAAATTATATATCATATGTATATATTTTATTATCACATCAACATGGTTTGCAAATAAATATCAAAACTATAGAAACTATCAAATTAAATACAAATTTTACATTCTAATATTGGCCTTACTATTTCAGGATATGTAGGAGATTTTCTCCAGAATAACTCAAATAAACTATATCCCGATGACATGAAACTTGGAGGAACACCTCTTCATTGGTGTTGTTCTAGAGAAGTTATTGAAACTTTAATTGGAATGGGTTGCGATATAGATGCTTTCAACTTTGAAGGACGTACTGCATTGCATGTTATGGTTCTACGCAATAGATTAGAATGTGCAGTAGCACTACTATCACGAGAAGCAAATCCAAATATTGCTGACTACAATGGTGACACACCTCTTCATTTAGCTGTGCAACAGAATTTAATTCCTATGGTCCAATGCTTAGTTGTTTTTGGAGCAGATTTGAACTTTAAGAATAATAAGGGCGAAACACCAAGGCATGTAACTACTACAGGTAACATAATAAATAGCTCATCAATATCAAAAAGGCCAATATAAAATATAGTTCTTAATTGTATTTGGTTTATCATTTCAATTTTAAATTGAACTATTTGTGTTTATGGACTTTATTAATTCATATGTAATAGGCACAAGTGGTGATAAGGTATTGCATATATTACATTCTGTTGGAGCGGAAAGATGTTTGAAAGACATGGAAGATTGTAAACCTGGTTGCAAATTTGATGGTGATTTTGATGGTCAGCCACCACCGTCCCCGTTAGCTGGTAGAAATAGAGAAATTATAAGTCAAATGCTTTCTGTTGCTGCAATGGAGCAAGCGAGTTTGAAAGGTAATTTGATGAATTAATTTTGTAATAGAAATTATAAGTATTTTTTAAATGATTGATATTCCTTATCTATGATTGATATGTTAATCTTAATAATTATAAAGAATATATCATTTTGTTGGTAATATAAAAATTATAAATGTTTTTTAGTTATATAAAACTACAGGTGATTTTTAAGACCAATCACACATTTTTGTGAAGATTTTTTAATGATAAATTGAATAATAGTTTACACTAATTAATGTGGTTACAATACAGTATTTATTTTTAGTTTATTATTATTTATTATAATCAATTTTTATGTTAGTATTTAGTATGCATTTTTCACTACAGTATTTTTTAAAACTTAATTCAAATACGAAGTTAAATAAATTCTCAATAAATCTTTTAGATGGTGGAAAACAAAAGACATTTGGTGGCCGATTATTATCTTTAGATGGTGGTGGTATAAGAGGATTGGTTTTAGTGCAACTTCTTCTGGAACTAGAAAAAGTGATCAAAGCACCAATTTTGAGTTGCTTTGATTGGGTAGGTGGCACCAGTACCGGAGGAATACTGGCATTAGCTCTAGCTTCAGGAAAAACTTTAAAAGAATGTCTATGTTTATACTTTCGAATGAAAGAGCTTGCTTTTGTAGGAGGTCGTCCATATCCCAGTGAAGCATTGGAAAATATTTTAAAGGAATCTTTAGGTATGCCTTTACATATCCATAATATGAATCTAATTGAGATTCTAATTGAAATTTTGATAGAATCTTGAAAAAATTATTTCAGCAGTCAATATTGATCTGCACAATTATTTGATTAATAAATTGAGAGTTAATAAATTTCATGTATTCTTATTAGGCTTATTAATAGTTCGTTTTTAATTAATATTTTAATTATAATTTATGATTGAATATGTGCTTGAATATATTTTTACTGCCTTTACTTACTACTACTTTAAAACAAATATTCAAAAATAATAGACAGGATATGTAATATTCAAGAATTCATATTCATACAAAATTTACTAAAAATTTTATAACCATTTCTTTATAATAGACACTGACTTTTTTACTGCCTTTACTTACTACTACTTTAAAACAAATATTCAAAAATAATAGACAGGATATGTAATATTCAAGAATTCATATTCATACAAAATTAACTAAAAATTTTATAACCATTTCTTTATATTAGGCACTGATACAGTGATGGCTGATATAAAACATCCAAAAATACTTATAACTGGTGTACTAGCTGATCGTAAGCCAGTTGATCTGCATCTTTTTCGAAATTACCCATCTCCAAGCACTTTGCTAGGCATTACACCAAGTAGTTCCTTTGTGGATCCTGCATCACCTGAAGAACAGCTACTCTGGCAAGCAGCTCGAGCCACTGGAGCTGCTCCTAGTTATTTTAGGTGAGTTAATATGAATGGAGGAATAAAATATTAAATAATATTGGAAGTGCCTACTGCAAGATTTATCAGTCTGATTAGGTGCAAACAATTTGTATTAGAATTTAGGATTATTATTAATTAAAGAGTTAATTTGAGATACTCAATCATTTATTATTATGAATATATTATTTAATGTTGAACTATTTTTTTTAGAGCATTTGGAAGATTCTTAGATGGTGGATTAATAGCCAATAACCCAACTTTGGATTGCCTAACAGAAATACATGAATACAATTTAGCATTACAAGCAGTTGGGCGTGGTGATGAAGCAAAACCAGTATCCTTAGTAGTTTCAATTGGTACAGGCTTAGTTCCTGTCTCGATTCTGAAAGAAATTGATTTATTCAGGCCTGAAAGTGTTTGGGATACTGCGAGACTGGCTATAGGCATATCAGCTATAGGTAATTTATTGGTGGACCAAGCAACTGCAAGTGATGGAAGGGTAGTAGATAGAGCTAGAGCTTGGTGTTCCATGATAGGTGTACCGTACTTTAGATTTTCACCTCAGCTATCTGAAGAAGTAGCCATGGATGAGAAAAATGATGAAAAATTAGTTAATATGTTGTGGGAAGCAAAAGCATATATGCATAGTAACTATAACGTTTTAGTTGAAATAGCGGACTTGTTGAAAGCTTTCTAATTTTTTTGTGATAATCACTTTATAGCTAGTCCAATTATGATCACAAATTAAAATTTTACTTATCAGCACCTTTTGTTAAATGTACTAAATAATTGTTAGCTAGATAATCATTTATTTATTTTAACTTGAATATAGCCAAAATGATAATTATAATGAAGCTATTAACTGTTTCAATATATCATGCCAATTGTGATATAATTTACATTATTAGTTATTGTACTTATTTTGTTATTAATAATAAATATTTTAATTATTGTTTAAATGTTCTATGTAATCAAATAAGCTTTATTCAAAAGCAAAAATATAGTGTAGTGAAATATAAAATGAAATGTTTGTATAATAAAGCACTGCTCAAATTCAACAATTGACAAATTCTTTCTTCAAGGACTGATTGGTGCTAATCACATAGGCAGAGTAGTAAAACATCAGCAATAGAAAATAACAAATAGTACATACAATTATTTGTATTTATTACATAACTTTATACTTTCTTTACTAATTTCCATTCTATGAAAAAATTAATTATGCTTATTAACTTACGTATTTGAAAATAGCTGCCATTTAAACTAGTGAGCGCATGGCATAGTGCCTTAAGGCAAATTGCTGGAACTTCCCGTACCGTAATTAAAAATTTGAGGAATAAAAATAAGCAATAATTGTTTTAAATAATTTCAAATAGATCATTTATTATAAATACATATTGTAAATTAATACATGCATATTATATTGGACGACAAGCGTGTTCTACAAACAACTTATGTGTATGTTCACAAGAAGTTTGTTCATTTTTTTCAAAAATTTGAAACATTTTTAAAAGTCGGATTTATTTGAAATTTTTTAAAAAATCGTTTTTTTTTTAAATTTTGAGAATTTTTGAAAATATCCGATTCGAAAATTTCGAAATATTCTCAAATTTTTGTAAGAAATCGTTTTTTCTAATATTGAATTTGAATTTTTTTGAAATATTGATTTTTTTTTAAATGATAACCATATACTTGAATATTGAAATTAAAAATCTTGGTACGGAACCTAAAAAATTGATAAAATGTATACACATTATTAAAATCTCTATAAAATATCTAATAATTTGATATGCATATGTTCAATGAACATTTTTGACCGCCAAATGGCATTTTTTAACTTATTTTTATTGAGAGTCTACAACCGCTACACCTGCTTTTCCAAAAATTTGAACAGACCTTCGTTTAGTCAATATAAATAAAATGTTTTTTTGAATTATTCAAATCGGACGCTTCGTTAAACTGAATTACAATTTTTGGTTCTTTTTGCCCCGTATCTCCAAAACGGCTAGACCTGCCTATGCCAAAAACTAATCAGCACGTCTCCTTATCAATATGAATCAAATGTTTTTTAAATTTCTCAAATCGGTTGATTCTTGTTTTTTTTTTAAATATATTTAATAAAAGGTTTCCGAGATCGTCGACAAAAATTTTTATCCGCACACACACATACACGCATACATACATCCATTTTTTCAAAGATATGCCAAAATGTTCAAAAACCTTTGAAACGTAAAGATATATGAAAGATTTCAATTTCGATTTTTTCGCGATTACTTATTTGAAATATTTGAAAGAGAATGCATATTAAAATTTAGAAAGCAAGATGTGATAATACATAATTATAGTATTAGATTTAAAATAATTTATTGCCTTTTTCAACTTGAAAGTAAATATTAAATGTTTAAGTAAAAATTACGATGACAAAAGGTTGTGCAACCCGGGTCACATGTAGATCTTGTGTTGTCAAAATAAATTATACACTTTTTATAAGGTTAATTTACAGATCTGTGTGCTTCGATCAAGGTGCAACTTACAGTAAAATATTGCTTATATTATACAAAAGAAAACTGATTTTAATTTGCAGATATGTAATTTACCGAAATTTGATCATGAAGATGTCTTAAAGAAGTGTTATAGTATATTACAAGCCATGAAAATCTATAATGAAATAAAATGAATCTCACGTGAAAGCAACAGTTGGTTTGATGGTATAAACAAAACTATATAGCAGAAACTTTGATTTTGACTTTTTTATTTATGTTTTATGAAACTTTCAATTTTTGATCATCATAGAAAATTCCAATAAAATGTTCTGAAGGAATCTTATAAGATTAACATATGCTATCATACAATGATTTCAAATAATCAAATTTTAGTAGTGAATGTTTTAAATATTGTGGCATTGAAACTGAGAATACTTCGTATACTTTAAAAGAAATTCAAGTAAGTACATATTATAATTCTTTGCATTATAAAAATGTACTTTGTTTATAATTTTATATGTTGTGCTTAGCTTTACCAAAATGGATATTGTTTCTGGTTTGTAAAAAACAATTTAAATTGAATACAAATAATTCTAAAACATTAATTTTGTATATTGACTAATTGTGTCTTTGTAGAACATAATAATAATTCCCATTGGCCTCGAAGAAATTTTCGCAATTCAATCATTGTCTCTGGAGTGCGAGTTGGGTATTGGATCTCACATCTTTGGCAAGATATGAGACGGAAAAGCCCTGTTGCAGTTCAGCATTGGGTAGACTCTTTGCCAAGCCCGGTATTCTTAAATATATTTTTTAACTGAGATATATCTTGCTTTTCAATACTAATTCGCATTTGTATTAGAATATATAAAACACCTTTTTATGCTTTGATATATCCAATGGCATATTTTTTATTTTGTTGTAATTTACTACTTAATTTGATTAATTTCATTTATCATTAGATAAGACCACCAGCAGAATCAAATGCTTGTGCAGAAGTAACAGTATTGCCTAGTAAGTCTCAAAAAGAATCTAATAAAGAAAAATGTGAGGAAGAAGTAGAGCTCAAGCCTTCGAATAATGGTGTTGATGTTTTGCAAGATAATTCAATTGTGAAATCAAGCAGCTTTAGCAAAAATGTTACTGATAATAAATCTGCAGCTATATCACATTCCACTCCAGTTCGAATACCAAGAAGAGGAACAATTGTGAGGGAAGCCTCTTTACCTTCAGATAGCCCACAAAGGAGGAGACTTCTACTTAGAGATTCCTCTTTTCAAGTAAGACAAAATAAGATTAATTATTTTAAAACATTCATCAGCTAGTAGAAATTATTAATGTTTTAATAGTTTAGCTCATGAATATATAAATAAATGAATATGCAAAATGTATAAATGAATGAACATGCAAAATATAATTCTTTTTAATTCTTCCTTTAAATTTTTAGTCAGATGATGCAGTTAGTCGATGTTCAAGTGTAGATAGTTTGTTAGAATCTCGTAGGCCTGATCCAGAAGCTGTATTACTTGGCTTGGGTTTTGGACCAACTTTGTCTCAAACAGATCTGTCTAGAATTCCACAAAGATTTTTAGGACCATCAAAAGTTAAAGGTGTAAATACTGAGAAATTTTTAAAACAACAACAACTTCAAAGGGAGATGCATGAAACTGGGGTTTGGGGCTATCGTGGCTTAACAGGTATCACTTTTATGTGTGTTTATTTTACGTTGTTGAAAGTTATGAATTCATATAGTATTAAACATTTTTTCATAGATCCGGAAACATCAGCATACTCCAATGAGTTTGTGATTAATACAAATTAAAATTAAAATAAGTAAGAAATTGTTTTTGGGTGTTGCTTTTTTGCATGTGATTGTTGTGTTCTTTATACAATATTGAATTTTTACTTATCGTTAGTGAAGTTTTTATTCTTAAACTTTTAAATTCATTATAGTTTTTAGAGTATTACAATTAGTAAGTTTATGTTGTCAATAGTTTAATCTTTTTTCACTGTATAACTTAAAGTAGAATGAATGAGTTCAATTTTATAGAAGTAATTGAGAATGTAAATGTTATCACATCGTTTGATTGACTAAAGCATGTTTCAAATATATTTTTCTAGAATGTAACTTCAATTTTAGAAAGTATATATAATGCTTTTAAAAATTTAAATAAAACTGATTAATTATCAGGTTTATTTGTATTTAGTTTTCTTGTGTGTATCCTTATAGCTTATAAAAATAGATAATCAATATTTTGTATTTATTATAGGAGATCCTCATTCACCACCTTCACATATAGTAGCTAAAATTATAGAACGAATTCACAGCAGTGAGCAACAGCAACAAGGTTTAGATTGCATTGCACCTGATTCCAATAATTTGTTTTAAAATTATTGTTTTTCTTTTATAATTTATATTTTAATTTCCTGAAAATATTATTACTTGTATTTATTTACATCTGTGGTTGTTATACTATTTATAGGTTGATTTAATATTTTTATATTAATAGAATAGGATATATCAGAAAATGCACAAAAGAATGAATGTTAGTTCTAATATTGTATTATTATTTAAGAAACCGTAACTGTGACTAATTGTACAATCATTAATATAATATAAATTTATATTTATTTTACCAATTTTTTTTTAATTACTATAATAAGATTTACTGTATAATGTAAAAATATTTATTCATTGATTAAAGTTTATGTGAAATAAGCATATAATAAGATATACCTTTCTTATTTTACACATCAATTAAATGTTTCAAATAACAGTAATAAAAAAAAATTATATTATTGTGAATATGGTACGCGCTTTTTAAATAAAATTAAAACAAATTGTCAATAATTTCAAATTTATATTCGTTTTTTATTACAATGTTGGTTACGCTGTTTTCACTTGTGGCAGCATTGGTATGATTTTGCATCTTCTAGAATGTTATGAAACAACTTCATAGTTATAAAGCTATTTATATCACATTTACAATAAAAAATTGCGTGTTATTATTATTTATATATTTGCAAAGCAAATTTACCATATTTTTGTTTCTCTTTTCTGTAATTATTTTTAATAAATTAGGTGAAGTGAATGGAAAGTGGCATTAACGACTCTTTATTGTTTACGTAAAGTTTTTGTTGTTTAAATATTGGGTAGTTTGACATTTCGGAAATAAAAAAGCTTATTTGATGCAATTTTATTCATTTGTAAAATTCGGAATTCATTAAGAATGAAAATTTACATTTTTTATGTACCATAGCCAGGTAATATTACAGTTTTTTATTTCAAAACCATTTAAAACACATATGCTTTGCTCTCTTTATACAATATTTCATCGTTTTCAGAATCATGACTAATGAAGAATTGCCAGTTAGCTTAGAGAAGCTTGAAATAGTATCAAGATTTCAAAATATTGATGATACCAACAAAGCTTCTAAGAATCCGTTTAATAAAAAATTGCTTGCAGTTGAAAATGATTCAACAAATAAACATATCCATGTAATATCACAAACACAATTCAAGAAAAATCCACAGAAGAAACCTATTTTAAGAGAACCAGTATTAAAATTGGTCGTACGTAATATGAAGAAAAATCCTAATAATCCAGTATTAGGATGCAAAACAAGAACACATTTATCGAAGACTGCCAAAGTATTTGGTGATGAACAGTCAGATTCTTTAAATTTTAAATCATTGCTTTCTAGCTGTCCTGAATTTGCATCTAAACCCAAAGCTGCAAACAAGCAGTACTCACAAAAAGTATTTAAACAAGTTAGATGCAAATCTAAAACCTTAGAAAATCAATTAGAAGTTCATCGTAGTTTAATGTTAAAATCAACCGAAGTGCATAGTTCTTGCTCTCAGCAAGCCAGAATGAATGAACCATGTGATATAACAATTGATGAATTAGCATCATATTTTGAGACTTTTGTTCACATACCCCAAAAAGATGTCTTCGATGGCAGAAATGATGTATATTTAATGATATTTTTTTCATATTTGTAAATTGTTTACTTATAAGTTCTCTACATTTATGTAAATGAATTAGTGTAATATTGATAAAGTACCATTAGTTCATGTTTTTGTATACATATAAATCAAATAGTATATTACATCATCTAAGCTATAATAAATTAGTAGTTAAATTTAAGTAGAAGAATATTTGTGTTTGAGATCCAATTTGTAATTGATATTGTATTCTTGTCAGTATGTTCTCAATAAGAAAATAAATATTTTTATATGTTATTGTGTAGATCACTATACATATACTACTTCCTATTTATATAAGTTTAACACCTAAAGAAACAATTAATTGGTGAATATTTTAAAATGTATGTATATTGATAAAATGACTCATTGAATGTCATTAAAAGTCTTATCGAATAGAATGCTTATTAGTAGTAATTAGTACAGTGTTGTTTAAGCTATTTTAATAGAAATATTTATGAGTAAGTTCTTATAGGGCGATACATCAAAGAAAAAAAAACAAAGATTAATGAATTAATTAAATTAAATTAATTAATTAATTAATAAGTTTCAACATTCAATTTAATGTAAAGATCAGTGAATATTAACTTTGGTAGCTTACATCTAAAGATGTGAACACAATACAAAAAAATTAGCATTAACATTAATGTTAGTGCTATTCATTGTCAACACAATGAATTTTTATCCTTTTTTATATGAAATGTAAAAAGATTAATAATAATTTTAGTTGACAAAAATGTGAAAAGTTAAGTAATTTCTGCAACGACTTGTGTAATACACAGTGTCCAAGGCTCATCCCTTGAGATTTTATATATAAAAAATTAAATAGAAGTAATGAGATTATTCATGTGGGAAGCAAAAAAAGTATCCTGCATTATGTTTATTAAAGGTGCTTCTTTTATGCTATTCTACTAAGGAGTCTTCTTATCTACATCAACTCTTCAATTTTTTCAAGTTTATTTGTGACTAATGAAACGCTTTGCCATTTGAAAAGACCATCGTTATGTATAAAATATTGATCTTATGTTGATAACGAAGGTTGATCATATTTTGTATATTATATTCTAGGAAGGTTCCTATTTATACTATACTACTTCCTATTTATTTATATTTAACACTAATGTTGAACACCTAAAGGAACAATTAATTGGTGAAAATTTAGTATGTATGTACATTGATAAAATGACTCACTGAATGCCATTGAAAGTCTTATCGAATAGAATTATTATAAGTAGAATGTTGTTTCGGCTTTTTTATATAGAAAGATTTACATATAAAAAATTAAATACAAGTAATAGGATAATGATAAGATAAAGATAATGCATGAAAGAAGCAAAAAAAAGTATTCTGCATTTTATCAAAGGTGCTTTTTTGTGATATTTCTACTAAGGAGTCTTTTTTATCTTCCTCAACTGTTTCTTCCTTTTTTTCATGATAATTTGTGACTAATGAAACGCTTTGCTATTTTGAAAAGACCATCGTTATGTATAAAATATTGATCTTATGTTGATAACGAAGGTTGATCATATTTTGTATATTTTATTCTAGGAAGGTTGACGACTACGTGATGACATAAACAACCCTGGAAATTACAAAACTTTGGTGGGGAGTGTACGATAGCCCAGAAATGTAGTGGGGAGACATCTGAACGCCATTCTGCTTTGACAGCTGACATATTGTATTCATTGTCTAACAGTTTGTTTACAAGATTAGTCAACAGAAATATTGCGTTTGAAATAAAAGTGTTAATTTCATTTAAACTTTTAATTTTCGAAATGGGTCCAATGCATTCGTTAATTCGTTTACGATCTGATTACAAGCTATTAAACCTACTGCATTCAAACGAGTGAAAATATCAAATGTTTTTAAAGTTATGAAAGCTACAAGATTGCGTCATGTTCTATTGAACAAAACAACCTGAAATATAAGTCTGAAAATGAAATAAAGAATACAAATTGTGATTTTAAACTGCTTTAACACCGAAATGGTAATTAGATTCTATAATTAATTTATTTTTAAAAATTTTGTACTTTTTTGTATTTTATACGGGATATATTTTTTACTAGTTAGAAAAATTCAACAATATTTCTGTTGCAGTAAACAAGCTTTTCTTTTCGTTTTTAAATTACATAAAAAGTAAATAATATTTTGATGTACTATTTTTGTGCGCGGAATCAATGTCAGCGTCACCAAATGGAGGGAGTATGCTAGTTCCTGAAAATTCCGCATCCACTTTACTGTCACTGTCATTCGCGAGTCAACTTTGTTCGTGAATACTGTGAGCATATTTTCTCAAGATTGGTTGATACTTAATTCAAGATTTATCCACGGACGCATCCGGGTAAGTGATCAAAAAAATATATTATAATTAAATATTACTTAATTACTAGTAGGTAAATCTTCAATTTTGAGTGTAGTCTGCAAAATTGGACGGTTTACCATGGTTGCTAAGGGAGATGGTAATCAATTGTAGAGCTGTAAAAATGGCGCAGGAATTATTTATATTTGCTTTATTACCATATACTAATTAATATAAATTCCTATATCCTCCTCTAAAAACACTCCATGAACGTATTCGTTATTTATCATTCCATACCCTAATTCCTTAAAATTTAGAATCGCCAAGTGTAAATATTAATCATTAATTAAAAATGATTATATCGTGTACAATTTATTTATTTTACAAAATTTTAACTTAATAATTTCCATGCGTTCTCGAAAATTCCGTGCAAGTTGAAACTTGTTTCAACCAATGAAGTGGAATGACGCCATATTGTATACTTGCTCTGTCATCGTTCAGAAAATTTGTATAAATTCTCTTTCATTTAGTTTTAACGAGTCATAAACAGTCAAGATTTATTATTTTTAGTTAAAAGGTTTGTAATAAATCATAATTTGTTATATGAATCTTATTTATGCCTATTTATATTCACTCGAGTTATATATGCGTTTGACAGATGATGTAATTTTTTGTTGCTTTTTCATCCAACTCAGCTTATTACTCATAGTAACATGAGAAGGTTTTTAAATTATTCTTTGGTTTCATTACCACGAAGATTATTAATTACATTTTTTACATTTGGTTTCCAGGATCAAATATTTTTTCTTGCATTTTATAACATCGTTCGAGTTTTTAATATTACTTAACAAGTGGTTGTTTCAAAATTTTAAAAGTTTTGTAATAATTATTCAGAGTTTTACTAAATAGTACTTGATTTTGAAAGTAATAGTGATAAACATCACTGTTGGGTTTCTTGGAAATATACTGCAATATATTAACAAATAATCTGTATTTTTTTCATATCTGACTACATATTCATCCATACAAATTATTATATCAAGTTTCGCATAATATATTACGTAATTTTTTTATATGCGTAAAAGCCTAGTAATAAATTCTGCCTTGTTTACTGCCTCGATTTACAGTTATAATTTGGCACGAAAAGTCTTTAGACTTCGGACAAGTTTT